GATGACTAAATATATATTTCACACAAACATAGATTAGGTAGCAGCCTTTTTACAAACCTCATCTTGTCGAACTCATCAATGCACACAACGCCTCCGTCAGCCAGAACCATGGCACCCGCCTCAAGATAGAACTCGCGCGACGACGTATCTCGCACTACTGAAGCGGTCAGACCAGCCGCACTACTACCTTTGCCAGAGGTGTACACGGCAACCGGAGCGAGCTTCGATACCTATGAGTATGTACGTGAAAGGTGTAGATATTGGATACGACTTTGATGTGTACGCGAAAAAAATATTAGGCGTGAGATATCGTGAGATATACAGAGTTGAGTACCCTCGCACTATAGATGCGGTACGATCAGCCGCACCACAACCCATGCCAGAGGTGTACACGGCTACCGAGGCAAGATTTGATGTCTACGCACATATATATATATATATATATATATTCGTGTGTGAGTGTGTAATTTCAGATATGGTGACAGATATATGATGTACTTATTTCGCGCCAACGCAGATGGTATATAAAGGCGTCACGTTTTTCCCCTCTACCTATAACTTGTGGTGTACATCCATACATGTGTACGTATAGGCATGAACGCATACCTTCTTCAGCAGCTGCGACTTAGCCGTACCCGGATCACCTAACAGCAGCACATTTATATCTCCTCTCAAGCGCATGCCATCGGGTAGCTCTTTCCGCGACCCACCAAACAGTAGGCACGTGATACTCTTTTTGATGTCTTCGCTACCGTAGATTTCCGGTGCGAGTGACTGTGTGATCTTCTCATACAACTCGGGGTCTTTGCTCAGCTCAGACATTTGCTTCTCCTCTTCTTTGGAGAGAGCAGTGGATCTGTACGTATAGGATAGGGTATTTGTGAGTGTATTTTCGTGAATTGTGAGCGTACAATGGATGCTTGTGAACAGTGTGTATATGTAGAGATGTCTGTTGTTCTGTCGTCTCTACTGCAGCGGAGCCCTTGAGATGATGCTCTTCGTTCAAATGAGCGGTTCATATTTGTGCGTGTAAATGTGTAATTGCGAGCAGGTGTCTGAAAACAAACTGTGAGACGTAAGTGTATTGTATTTGTGTGTAGTTGTGCGTTTGAATGTTCCAATCCTGTCTGGCAACAATTTTCTCTAAGTGACTATGTTATCTTCTCGTAGATTTCAAGGACCCTCCTAAGCACTATAATCTATCTCCTTTCTACGTATATCAAGGCCAATCTCTGTGTGTGTGTGTGTGTGTGCATGTATGTATGTGTGCGTGCATGTTGTATGTGAGTCATTGACTACCTTATTTGTATAAACACATGCATTCAAGAGTATAGACCTACTTGTTGCACACTCAACTCCACACACACCTAGAGTCTACAAATTCCTTTACCTTCCCTACTTACCACTTATCAGTATGTACATACATATACAGTATAAACATACACAAATTCTATTTTGCATGCAAATATATCTTGAACCCGCACCACAGACTTTGATCAATCCTGAGTACCTACCTGCTGTTGGCATCGTCCTCCAGCATATAGCCTATAACTCGGATATAAGGGATGACGGTGCCTGTGTCTCCGCTACTCTTAGATCCGTTCGAGTAGTTGCGGTAGTTGTCGTACACACCAACCACATCCACTCGACTCCCTGGAGTTACTCGACGAGTAAGGAATCTGAGACAAGCGCGAAATTGATATGTAAGGCTGGATTCTGAAAAAAAATATGCTGATGGGCTTTGACATATGTCATTTAGCGATCATTTGTGGGGTTGTTTGTAGTGTTAAGTGTCTGTTGATCTACGCAGTACATCATCCGCTACACAACTATCAGTGTATAGGCACATAGCTGCATGGCAATTCTCCCGCACCAACCCACACCACATGCACGTACATATCTCAACTCGATAACTAACACGTATACACAACCAACCACAAAACCTGTCGGCTGGCCACAGGATACGCCTTGACAATTCTTCCGCAGAGATAATCTTCGGCACAGTCTGACATGTCAGCTTTTGCTGTTCAAATCCAACCTCGCATACATACAGAAAATTCTACATGTACAGATATATATCAACATACCTATCGGCCGATAACATGATGTGCCTTGGCAGCTCTCCAGTAGGGACCATTTCCGGAGCCTCCTGCAGCTTGAGTGTTTGCTGATCTACGCACTGGCACTTGTCGCCAATGATATCATATGGATCCATGGGGCATCTCTCCTCGCCTTCTACGGCTGTGCGATCGCACGTGCGGGGCAACATGGCCCCCGAAAAACCGGGTCTGATGGTCATATCCTTCACATCTCTGAGTCGAGTTTTGATTACGGTAGGAAGAGAAGGAAATGTCAGATAAGATATATAGGATTCCTGAAACTGAGAATATAGGCATCAGATAAAAAATACATGCAAATGCGTTCACAATATTCACCACATGCCTAGCAATACCAACATACCTATCTCACTATATATATATATATATATACATATTAAAGCCGATATCGATGTAGTGTCGGCATACACTGCGTGACTTACCCACAGTTACGGCATTCGATGCGGACGTGGGTGGCCTTGGCTATAATATTACTCGCTTTGATGACAATCCCAGGCACTCGCACGATACGGGACACATGCGTCGACTAAAGGATGTGATGAGGGCAAATATGTGAGCCTCGGAGTTAATTTCGATAACTATAGCTCAATACATGTTCACACAAATATGTACATGGAAAGGTTTAACTAGAATATGTTTTAAATAGACGAACTGTCGCAGTCTTCGCTGGAAAAGGTGGTGAGCCAACTGGATAATTGATTCCATTAGACACATCTGCCACCTCTGCCTGCACAAAAGACCACACTTGAAGATGTGAGCATTGTCTATATACATCACTTGTATACATATATACTAAGAGTAGATAAGAGAAGTAACATACACTCATCTCTTGGGTGTTCGTCTGCGATATATACAACGCCGCCACGATATTCGTATCATACCAAACGTCATACAATTCACAAATACAGAAACCAGACAAAGCGAAGCGACAAGTCACAACGATTGAGTCTACCGGTACTGCACAAGCGATTCACACACACGTGCTACATAAAGCAAGCACATCGCCACGCCACGCCACTCCACTCCTTTCAAATCTCTAGTACCCTCTGTGTATGTAGCGCACAGTTGAGAGTCCACATCTGTGTATGTAGCACACAGTTGAGAGTCCACATACGTCCAATTCACGGATGGTGGTAGCACTGCGGTCTGTGGTGAGCATGATCTGGATGGGTTTGACGGGGTCGTCATTGGGCCTTGGGCGTGTGATCTCATCTACAACCTTCTTAGCCGCCTTCTCAAACTGCATGGAGTGGTAGTTGGCGGGTGTGGAGTATTGTAAGTAAGTGTGCGCAAAAGCTCATGCTCTGACAGTTTGCATGAGCCAGTGTGCGAGTGTTCTGTGGTTGTATAGAAGACTGACAGCATATACGCACATACAAACTCGTATATCATTGAACACGGATTTTGAAGCCAAGCCACATAGGGTAGCACTATTCGTGCATACAAGGGGCCTCGATCTCTGCTTATTATTTGGTACTCTACACTCCTCCTTACTATGTCAGCTCCATGAACTTGTGATAGCTTTTCGGTGGGATTTTGTTATGTAAAAATCATGTGTGGTGACAGTTGAAAGTACATGCACGTCTATTCGCATACAGAAACAATGTCAGATTTCATATATGTATGCGTGTATACAAGCGAAAAGAAAAATATTTAACTGTGTGTTACAGATACGGCTATCCCGATATATAAATACCGGTTTAGGTACGGATAGTCAAAGCAGTATCACTCCAAATGAAAATTATATTTAATATTCAATATAAGAAACAAGTAAGACGAAAAGTACATGGATGTCGTGATTTGTTGAAATATTTAAATAGGGGTCATCACGTGGATAAACTAAAAATGGTAACAATATTATCCCTTATGATTTCGTATGTAATTTCCGTATACATCTCCGCATCATATAATCTCAATGGGTACCAATATATTACAATAGTGTACTTACGATTGGCAGGTACTTGGCTGGGTGGTTCAGCACTCGCTCAGCAAGCCATTCGCTTGCGCTTCTCAGGTGCTCCACATGCACAGACAGGTAGTAGTTACCGGAGTTGTACTGTGCCCGCAAGTCCTCTCTGTACGGTACACAATAGGCCAGCGCAGAATAGTATATGTAGTACATGAGAGAAATATACAATGTAGTACATATATCTGTGGTCATAGTGTATGCAAGGGGAAAAAATCGAAGCACCCTCTGACCTCTAACTCTGCACAACATGTTTGTAATTATTTCACGGATACCAAATGTCAGATGAAAAGATCATAATCTTATATATATATATATATATATTATATATACATATATATGTGTGTGTATATACAAATACATAAAAATATATATTTATATACATATATTTATATCTATTTAGACAGTATAAAT